GAAAGAAAAAATTACATTTAAAAATGGTCACCTTGCTTGTTTCCACAGTTTAGGAGTCCTGGATGAATGGAAGCATGAGTGGACCGCGCAATTCTTTAGAAAAGGGAAACATTATAAACCCTAGAGTAAAATGGGAACGGAGTCAGCCCTGGGTCAACAGGAATTTTAGAGCAAATTTATACAGTTCAAAATTTCTCAGCCCCAGTAAGTGGCTGGTCCACGTAACCCCACAGCATCCAGTTCAGGTGGAGCGAAAGGCCACCGAGAACCTGGGCGGACCCTCGCTGTCCTTAGAGGGCAGCCACGTGTCCTGTGTAGGAGCACGTGCGTTCGGCCCCCCGGGTGGCTTCTGGAGTGGCTGACCCCTTGTCCCTTGTCCCCTAGGTTTGGAAATATCCTGGGATGGAGACAGTTTTGTGGAAGTCACGGCCGCCCCCCACCTCAGGGGCAAGCTCTGTGGCCTCTGTGGGAACTACAATGGGCACAAACGGGACGACCTCCTCGGCGGGGACGGGAGCTTCAAGTTCGACGTGAATGACTTCGCTGACTCCTGGAGGGTGGAGTCCAACGAGTTTTGCAGCAGGCCCCGGAGAAAACTCGCCCCCGAGCTGTGTCCGGGGACGGTGAGGGCCAAGCTCCGAGCCCACCGGGAGTGCCAGAGGCTCAAGTCCTGGGAGTTCCAGACCTGCCACTCGGCCGCGGACTACGCTCCTTTCTACCGGCAAGTACGGTGTCCTGGGGGACAGGCTGTCACAGACGGGGTGGGCTCGGCCTGGGGCAGTGTGCATGTCTCTGGGTGTGCAGACCAGGGGCCCGAACTGGGGCACTCTGAGTCTCCACGGACGGCCTCCCGAGCTCTGGCCTCCGCCGCCCGAGTGAACGGGATCTCACGGCTCTCCGGTGCCATGGGGTGTTGAGAGCGTGGCTGCTCAGGTCTGAGAAGAGGTCTGCATGGGGGAATGAGACGGCTCAGGAGAAGTACACGGGTTGTGGCCGGCTCTGAGACTTCGCGTTGCAGAGCGCAGCAGAGAAGGCCTGAGTGTGGGGGGGGGGTGGCCCGCCACTGAGAATTGGGTTCCACCACGTTTTAGAACCCTTTAACTCCCACACAAAGCAACTGGTTGAAAATCCGACTCAGATGTTTTAAATGTGTATCACTTCATTCTGTGAGTGATGAGGAGAGGGGAGATGCAGGGGCCTGGCAGGGTCATGGCTCTGCACCCCCCAGCCCCCGTTGGCCCTGGGTCACAGGCACGCGTGTGCGTGTCACAGTCAGGGAGTGCCGGCCCTGGCCCGGTCCCTTCCCTGTGCGTCCATCTCGGGTGCCCGCGTCCACTGTGCCACTGGCCCACCTGGCTCCCGGGAAGCTTGGGCTTCCTCCCGGCGGCGAGGCTGTGCTTGCGAGCTGGCCGGCTGTGGCCCTTCCGTTTGCGGAGTTCCGTGGGCTCAGCAGCCATGGCTGCAGGCGACCCTAGCCGCTCTGGGCGTTGGCAGGAACACGAGATGAACGGTCCAAGACCCTTGTTTAAGTGACATGCCTGGGCCTCTTAAAATGAGAAACCTCCTGTGGTCTGAAGCCACAGGGAGGTTATTTTTACTCTTTAATTGCCACCAGTTTATTTCCTCCGGTTCTCATTAACTGCACTCTTTTTCCTCCTTTTTGATCTTTGGGCATAAAAGATAAAATTCTGTAGAGACAAGTCATACTGGGTGGGAGGAAGACCGTGCCTGTCCCCACAGCCTGCACAGGGCCGCCTCCACCCTTGCCTGCGTGGTTGGGAGAGGTGATTACGAGGCTATGGGCAAGCCGCCGCTGGATGGACACACGGGCTGCTTGTCACCTGTCACTGAGAAGCCTGCTGAGGAGCAGCGGCACCTAGGAGTGACGGGCTTCGGGTCTTCTAGAAGACAGAGTCCTAGCCAGCTGCCCACCCGCAGTCACCCGGTATCTGAGCTCAGGGGCTGACCTGTGATGGGAGACAGCCCAGCGGCCCCCTTCAGGCGGGTGCCCCAGGCCCTGGGCCTGCCTGGCCTCCTCCAGAGCACAGCCCTCCAGAGGGAGCCCTCCTGTCTTGCAGAGAGAGCTTGCTCTCCGCTCAGGGGCCAGGGACTGGGAGTGCCCGTGCGCCGTGGGGTGGGGTGCAGAGACCGACAGCGGAGCTGTGCCGTAGATAGATGACACCAAGCCCGCTTCCCTCACGTCAGAGAGCACGCCTGGGACGTTGTCACTGTGCAGAGCCGTGGCGCCAGTGCGAGGGCCCCGGGTGAAACGAGACTGTCAAGGTGTGATTTGCAGGCCTGGCTTTGAGGTTTTCCTTAGACAGGCTCACTCAGCTTTGAGGTGGCCACCCTGAGTCTGTAATTAAGGTGTGCCGACACCAGGTGGCAGCAGACACCTCAGTTGTGCCTGTGGGCTTTAGCCTTTCAAAGCTTAGTTCAGTGTTGGACTCCCATGTGGCCGGCCACGGTTCGAGTCCCAGACCTGGCAGCTTGCTTTCTCACTTGCCCCACCCACTCTGCCCCTCTCTGGTCAAATTTATATAAATGAGTAAACAAATAAATAAAGTTTAATACAATAATTCCTTAAAAGAAGAAGTTCAGTGTTGGGGCAGCAGATGGCTCAGTGGTTATATCTTTGGACTCCCACATTGCTGAGTGCGGTTTGAGGCCTGGACCCGGTGGCTTGAAATTCATGCTGTTTGGGACCAGCAGTTAGCATAATGATTATGTCGCTGGACTCCATGTAGTCGACTGAGGTTTGAGTCCTGGACCCGGTGGCTTAAACTCATGCTGGGCGCGTGTGCGTGCGTGCCCAAGATCCCGAAAGGAAAATGGAGGACGGATTGCGGCATGGCCATCCCCCCTGGGGGGTGATTTCTCGCTTTCTGTCTCTATGTCTCTCTCTGTCTTTCTGGTGAGTGCACGTGCCCTATAGCAAAAACCTCTCAAAAAAAAAAAAAAAAAGAAAGAAATTCATGCTGTTTTTGTGCATGTGTGTGTGCTCAAAATTCTGCGGAGAGAAGGGAGGAGGGACTACAGTGCGGCCATTCCCTTGGGGGTGATGTCTCACTTTCCCTCTCACTGTCTCGGTCTCTGTTTCTCTCCGGGCAAGTGCACACTCTCTAAGGCAAAAACCTCTAAAACAGAGAAGGTCACAGAGTTCGCCTCTTCATTAGCTCTCCCTGTTCCCTCCCAAAGCCCCTCCAGGACCCTGCTATGGGTACAAAGCACAGTGCATGGAGGCACCCCAGGCTCATGCTATCCGGGCACCCTACCTCTGCCAGCACTGCGCGTGGGGAGTCAGGGCAGCCTCGTTAATTACTCTGCGATACTCAGTGAAGGCCCTGCACCTTCTGGTCTTGGCCCGGTCGCTGTCCTGCCTGCTGAGATGCCCCGTCCCTGTGTCTGCCTGCCGAGAAGCCCCGTCCCCACGTCTGCCTGCCGAGATGCCCCGTCCCCACGTCTGCCTGCCGAGATGCCCCGTCCCCACGTCTGCCTGCTGAGACGCCCCGGTCCCCATGTTAGCAGGCAGACACACCCCGGTCCTCGCGTCCACGTGGAGCACAGCTGGGTTGGTCCGTTTTGAGAGAAGCCCCTCCAAGGGGACCTGAGCCAGCTACGTCGTGAGCACACTGACCCCAAAGCCCCTCGCCCCCATCAGCACTGGTCCCGGCTGCCCAGACCAGCCTCACTGGCAGTAACTTGCTCAAGGTCTCCCGGAACTACTCGGAGCTGTGGCTCATGGAAAGAGAGGTTAGCCGGAAAGGGTTCTGGGCGGAGTCCAGGAGGTGGCCAGGTGTGGGGCTTCTGCTGTCCTTTCCCCTTGGCAGCAGGGATGGCAGCGTGTGACCGGGCAGCTCGCCAGCCTGTGGGGTCCGGAGTGTGCGTCCGGGCTCAGTCTCAGGCTGCCCGTGGGGCCGACCTCTGTCTGCAACCCTCCTGGGGCCCGGTGCTCTCGCGCCTGGTCTGTGACTTCCCTGTGTGGCCGAGGGCCCCGTCGAAGCCCCACTGTGACCGTCTGATCATATTCCTCGAGCACACAGGGACCCTCCTGTGAGGACTCTTCAGGCCGAGAGGCCGGCTCCCAGGGCAGGTCAGTCGCCCCCTGCTGGCCGTAGCGCGAGGTTAGACGCGGTTTCAGCCCGCCTTCCTGATTTCAGTCTTGAGTTTCTTTTAAGCATAAACGTTCTAGAATCCTGCAGTTTCTGCTCAGGAAGTTAGATTCTGACGGGCCGTGGGATGAGGCTTGGAACACAGACCTGGACGCGTGTCCTTAGAGCAGGCAAGACGCTGAGCATGGCACTGTCTCCCTGGTGCCGGGGACTTCCTGCTTCCTTCCCAGGAGGCAGGAGGCTGCGGAGAGGCCGCATCACTCGGTCATTGTCCCAGCCACATGGTGTGGGGCCACATCACGCAGTCATTGTCCCGGCCACACGGTGTGGGGCCACATCACGCGGTCATTGTCCCGGCCACACGGTGTGGGGCCACATCACGCGGTCATTGTCCCGGCCACACGGTGTGGGGCCACATCACGCGGTCGTTCATGGTCCTGGCCACAGGGTGTGGGGCCACATCACGCGGTCATTGTCCCGGCGCACAGCCCTGTTTGCCCCGTGAGGAGCTGCCGTGAGCCGCGTTCTCCCGTTTTGCTGTCGAGCTCATCGAGGCTGGAGGGGGAGAGCCTCACTGGGGCACCAGGGCGCCGAGCGGCCAGCCTGCCAGGGCACCGGCTCTGCGTGCCCGTCCTGGCCCAGTGGGCAGTGGTGGCTGCTGCTGGCCGTGGCTGTCTGTGTAGGTCCTCGCTCGTCCGTCCCCGCTGTGAGGCTGCAGGGAGGGTGGGCCGTCACCTAGATGGCCGGTCCTCTCTGGAACTTGTCCGAGCACCGCAGAGCGATTCGGGACTGGACAGCAGACAGGTTGCCTCCTGAGACTGTGCCTGAGTGTGAGCCGACGGGTGAGGCGTGTGAGTGGGACGGGCCGTGTGACAGCGGGTCTGGGTGCCGCCCTGCTGTGGTAGCCGGGTAGGGGCTGTGTGACAGCAGGTCTGGGCACTGCCCTGCCACCGTCGCCAGGCGGGGGCTCACCTCTGAGCACAGCCTGCCCCGTACGGAGCTCACGGGGACCTGCCGGCTAGGGACCTCAGCTCCTCGCCAGAGTGGGCAGGGCCTGTCCAAGGACCAGGCCGGGGGCCAGGACGGCTACTTTGGGATGGGCTGAGGGGGGGACGGCCTGGAGGGCGGTGGCTGCCTGCCGAGCTCCTGCTGCCAAGGGCACACGCCTAGACGCCCATGAGGGCTGTGCGGGGCCTAGGCACTGCCGGGGCTGTGAGGCTCTGGGGTCCACCATGGCCCCCGGCCTTCCCCGGCGCTGGGTCAGGGCTGGCTTCCTCACACGGCTTCCTCGCACTGACTCAGAAGCCGGCCTGGGCGGAGAGTCCTCAGGACGACGGGGCCTGCCCTTGCCGTGCCGGGTCGTGGTGAGGCCACCTGGGAGAGCTCGCTCCTACCCTGTGACACTTCTCCCCAAACCGACCCAGACACACACTGCCAGGGGTTAATCAGGCCTCCCAGGGCACGCCCTCGCAAATGTCTCCAGTGGAGACTGAGCAGGAGGAGGTAGGATGAGGCACTTGATTCCGTAGGATGAACTAGAGATCCGAACCTAGGAAGTGAGTCGTCCCCGAGCGCGCTGCGGGGGACAGGAAGAGCCGTCCTGTCCTGG